TGGTGTCGATGTAGACTATGAATGGTCCATTGTGGTCCTTTTCATAGGTCATAACTTTTTCCGATGCGTTTTTTGAGTTGCGGTTTTTCAATTGAATTAGTTTCGTCCTCTTCTGAATCTAAAGAAATGTCTGTGACCATGTTTTCAGTTTCCATTTCTCCCGCCTCCATTTTGGAATTTGCTTTTCTTTCGCGCTTTTTAAATTTTTTTCGCTCCTTTTTGGAGGAGCCACCTCCCGTATCCAAATCCATGTTTATTGCTACTTTTCTCTTTTGCGGATTGTTGGATTCCACCTTAGAGTATAAACTTTGTTTTTCCCTTATTTATTTAATATTTTTTAAATAAAATTAAATCGAAATTTAAGAGCCGCGTGCCGCTCGCTTTCAGTGTTGCCAACCGAATGAGGTGAAACATTGTTTAAAATGTTTTTGACGTTTGTTCGTGATTTCTTGACAGCACAAGGATGGAAAGTAAAGATAACGACAAAATGAAACAGAGTTGTATTTCATGTAATGCTGCTGACAAGGCAAATTCGTACAAAGTGGTATCGGTAGGGCAAAAACAAAAATTACAATAACGAACGGGAGGACTCCATAATCCCGACTTTGAAGATCCCGACTAGACATAATCCAGACAATTTTTAAAAATCCAGACAGGAGATAATACAGACATAACAAAATCCCGACCAAATAAAATACAGATAACACATTATTCAGACAAGATAAAATCCCGACAACTCAAAATCCCGACAAGACACAATCCAGACAAAAAAATTATAATGCGTCCGGAAATGAAAGTGATGACTTATGCCTAAATATAAACGGTTACCACTCCACATTTTTTCGCTTCTTCACTGCAAGGAGCCTAACCCTCTCGGCAACCACTTTACCACAAGGACGAAAGCTGCGTATTCTCGTCGATGGTAAACTAATTCCAACGGTGAATAGCCGGAAAATTGTCAAATCTAGCTCTCGTTCCCGGCGCATACAACCGAAATTGACAATAATGTACAGAGCCATAGTCCTCAATTCGGCAGTACTTGGCCAAAGACAAAGAAACGGAGTGGCAAACATACAAAGCCGCCCGGTTCTAAATTATGCAGCGCCTGTGTGCTCGCCGGGGACAATTGGTTCGCAGTGGATGAAACTAAACACATGCCACAATACAACACCCTGGACAACCAGAGGATGTCTTCTGATGTCGCCAGAACATCACATCCACAGTGAAGCTGAAATTCTCCCAGTAAGGTGCTACAGTTGTCAGCACTCGAACTTGCTTTAGCTGAAGGACCAGATCAAGCACTACGCACAGCACCCCTGGGACTGGGACTATACAGACAGATTATTAACGGTATTTGCAAACTCCAGTCAAGTGAATGCCATCATCAGTGCCAATCACCACCTGTGAACGAAAGTGAGCTTCAACTGCCACGAGATACCCGCGTAACTCTGTCCCAACTCGCCTCCCAACATCGAAAATGAGTGTCCAGCATGTGGAGATTCCCCC